ACAGGTACAAGCCTGAGCCGGGTTCGGGTGAAATGACATCCGAACGAATTTTCCATAAGGTCGGTGCAGTAATTGATCAATCAAGCTCGCTCTTTTTACGCACAGAATCCGTGCATCAAGCACTGAAAATGAATCCTGTGTGATTGAATGATCCCGCTCAATATAAACAGGCACGCTGCATTTCAGACTGAATCCGCGCCCAACGAGGCGTATCTCACGGATAATTACAAATCGGAGATTGAGACAAGCAAATCTCGAATACCATGTGTTAAATCCGCAAATCTCCTACGTGCACCAACATGCTCTCATTGCCAGGTGATGCTCGGAGCATGTAACGGTCTGCTATAATGTCGCGGGATCCACCGCCATGAAAAACCTTCCCAATCATCCTTTTCCGCAGGAGTTCACAAGGCAGTCCGTGGAGTAACCGACCGGAACGGAGGACAGTGCTAATAGCTCGGGGACTGGCGCGCCATAAGTTGGACACCGCCGCACTCAGCGAAACCGGGTTCTCCGAACAAGGCCAACTGGAGGAGGTGGGTGCCGGCTAGAGCCTCTTCTGGGGCGGCCGCCTCAGGGCAGAGGAACGAGACGCGGGTTCCCCCTCACCATCCGGAACAAAATCATGAGACGAATGCCCTGTCTGCCGTTGGGCACCAACTATCGGCTGATGAGCCTTCGCCTGCCTCTCCGGAAGGGCAAATTCGCTACCATCATCAGAGCCTATGCCCCCCCAGGACGAGCCCCAATGCTGCAAAGACAATTTCTACGAGGACCTGCAGGCTCACCTGACGAATATGTCAAAGGCGGACAAGTCGATTGTCCTCGGTGAATTCAACGCATGCGTCGAAACAGACCATGCAGTATGGCAAGGAGTGCTAGGTCTCCATGGTCTCTTCGGCTCCAACGACGACTGCATGTTCCGTTCCCGCACATTCGCAAAACACCGGCTCATCCTGACGAGCACCTTCTTCTGTCTGCCGGAGCGAGAGAAGGCCACCTGGAGGCATCCTCGGTCGCGTGAGTGGCACCTGCTGGACTATGTCCTCGTCCGGAGGCGAGACCAGCGGGACGTACTCGTGGCAAAGGCGGTCGCGGGTTCTGACGGGTGGACCGACCATCGCCTCGTCATCTCGAAGACGCGTATTCGCCTACAGCCTCACAGGAGACCACAAGGTAAGCGACCCTCAGGTAAGCTGAATAATGCCTTGTTGTCTTTGCCCGCTCATCATCTTCATTTCAGCCATGAGCTAGCTCGACGGTTAGACAACCTTCCAGTCGCTGCCGCCTCTGCTGACGAGGACGCCTCCGTAAAAAAACTCATGGTATCAACTGCGGGGCACAGTCCAGTCGATGGCGCTGGCCGTCCTCTGTCGGGCACGCCGCCAACACCAGGACTGATTCATCGACAACGACGCTGCCATTAACAACCTGCTCGCCGAGAAGAACCGCTTACACAAAGCCTACGCAGACCACCCCACCGAAGACAACAGATCTGCATTCTACTGCAGTCGTCGCCCTATGCAACAGCGACTGCATGAGATGTAGGACGCCTGAACGGCTTGCAAGCCTGAGGAGGTCCAAGGGCACGCAGATCGCAACGAATAGAAGAACTTCTTCTCCGCGATCGAAGCTGTCTACGGTCCGCCGACGAAGGGCACTGCCCCTCTCCTCAATGCCGACGGCAGTACCCTCCCCACCGAGAAGACTCAAATCTTACAGCGATGGGACGAGCACTTCGGAGGCGTCCGCAACCGCCCCTCCACCACCTCCGACGCCGCCATCGCCCGTTTGCCGCAATTGGAGACCAACTCAGACCTAGACCTCCTGTCCTCTCCCCAGGAAACCAGCAGGGCCGAGCAGCAGCTCTCCATCGGGAAGGACCGGCCGCGATCCCTGCTGATAACTACAGGCACGGTGGCCTCCAACTCATGGAGCATTCGACGTCGCTCTTCCAGGAGATGTGGCGTCAAGGAGACGTCTCACAAGATTTCAAAGATGCCACTATCGTTCATCTGTAGGAGCGGAAAGGAAACCGCCAGCTCTGCGACAATCATCGACACATCTCCTTACAAAACATCATCGGGAAAATCTTTGCTCGCATCCTCCTCAACCGCCTGAATAATCACCTAGAACAGGGCCTTCTACCGGAAAGCCAGAAAGGCTTCCGCCGTCATCGGGGGACCACGGATATGATCTTTACCGCCCGTCAACTTCAGGAGATGTGTCAGGAGATGCGGACCCACCTGTACTCTACCTTCCTGGACCTGACGATAGCATTCGACACGGTGAATCATGAAGGGCTGTTGAAGATCATGCAGAAATTTGGCTGCCCCGAGCGATTCATTCAGATGATGCGTCAGTTCCACGACGGTAAGATGGCGCGCGTCATGTCCAGCGGGGCTATCTCAGAGGCATTATCGGCGACCAACGGAATGAAGCAAAGATGCGTGCTGGCGCCTACCCTCTTCAGTCTTATGTTCTCTGACATGCTGATGGACGCCTACCGCCTGCAGGACGGACAGCCACCTCCTCAAACAACGCCGAATGAACTTCCAATCACGCGTATCCTCAACCATCGTTCACGAACTCCTCTTCGCCGACGACTGCGCCCTCAACACCACCCCGGAAGAGGACATGCAACGGAGCATGGACCTCTTCTTCACAACCTGCGAGAACTTCGGCCTGGTCAGTAACACGGATAAAAAGGTGGCCCTGCATCAACCGCCACCAAACGCAGCTACTCTTCACAATGCACCTCGGATCAGCGTGAACGGAACCCACCTGCAAGGGGTGGGCAACTTCCCGTACCCGGGCAGTAACCTCTCCCGCGGCACCAAAATTGATGACGAAGTCACCCGCAGGATTTCGAAGGCCATTCAAGCCGTCGGTTGCCTTCAACGTACAGTTTGGAATCATCATGGTATCCAACTCAGTACGAACCTGAAGATGCACAATGTCGACATCTTCCCGGCGTTGCTGTACGGAGCGAAGACTTGGACGGTGTACACGAAGCAGGCACGCCGGCTGAACCATTTCCACCTCAGTTTTCTTCGCCATATCCCGAGGCTGAGGTGGCAGGACCGAATCCCCGACACAGATGTACTGGAACGGACGGGAATTATCAACATCTACACTATGTTGGGACAACTACAACTGCATTGGGGCGGCCATCTAGTGCTGATGGAAGACGAGCGGCTACCAAATCGACTCTTCTATGGAGATGTCGCCACAGGTTCTCACCGGCAAGGAGGCCAAATCCGCCGCTACAGGGATACTCTGAAATCCTCCCTGAAACATCTGCAAACCAGTCCGACCAACTAGGAAGACCCCTCTCGAGACCGACCGACGTGTAGGAGGGCAGTGAAGACAGGCGCTGCGATCTACGAAGCCAAGCGCCAAAGCCAAACGCGAAGCACGCAAATCACAACTGCGCCAACTCGTAATGTCAACGCACAACGGCCTCCAACGTTTTGCCCTGCCGTATTTGCGCAGACGAATGTGACAGTCGTTGATGAAAGTCCTTAATAGGCGTCGGACCTACTAGAGAGAAAGTACAACGGAGAGGGGAACCCGCCTAAGAGGAAGTACGCGATGGAACTATCAGACTACTGCCTACGCACGTACTTCACTTTCAATGGTCAAATTTGCGGGCAAGTCCAGGGAACCCCAATGGGGTTCCCGATTTCCGGCTACCTGGCTGAGGCAGTCATGCAAGAACTGGAAGCTCGAGGCTTTCAGTCCTACAAGCCGAAGTTCTGGATACGCTACGCAGACGAGAGCTTTGTTATCTTACGCCGAGACGCTAAAGACACCTTTAAAAGGAATTGAACTCGGTCTTCCCGCAAATTCACTTCACACTGGAGGAAGAAGAAGACAGAGTGCCTCCTTTCTTCGACGTTCAGGAAAAAAGACAAAAAAGACGGAACCCTCCAGACTGATGTCTTTCGAAAAGCCACAAACACGGAGAAAAGTCTCCACTACAACAGCAACCATCGCCTGTCGCATAAACGCAGCTGCGTCCGTACGCTTTTTCACCGCATAATCACACCCTACAACACAGAAGCCGAGAAGCTGCGGAAGCGTGAAACCCTGTGGCACCTCTTCCTTGCCAATGGATACCCACGCAGTTTTGTAAACAAATGCTTATACCAGACACATACGAGGGCCGACCGTGAGAACGCGCAAAGACCCGAAATCTTCCGTGTTCTGCCTTACGTGAGAGACGTCTCCGATGCCAATGAGGACGTGCCAAGGCTACTAGGCATGCATTTCCCATTTAACCCCTCTCCGATGATGTGCTCGAGTAAGAGTACGAGACGTCAGATGATTAAATCTTCCTCCCCAGAGATCGACTTATCTTCTCTTTCCATCTCAACACCTGGGGTCGGCATTTTCGCTTATATCCATATCCTGACTTCATCCCGCATCAGTGACCAGCCACCCGCATTCCCACTGATCGGCAATTCCCCCGGTCTTTCTCCACCTCCAACACAGGGAGCCCTAATGGTTCTTCCTTTCCTCTCCCTGTCCCCCAGCCTACCATAACTCGGCGCCCACCCCTCTCACGCATCAGCTCTCTGTTTGTCGTTGTCTCTCATGTCGCGCCAGCCGACCTAGTCTGCCGAGCTCACCTTCCCCCCTGTTCATTTCGTCTGACGTCGAGTCGGTGTCAGCGACTTGAAAATTTACGAGCACAACTCGATATTCCGAAGAGCCTTCTCTTTTTCATATATATGACAGATGAGCGCCCATCTGTCATAATTGATATTCCCCATTACAACCGACAGAACAACGGGCCCGTGGCTCAATGGTAGAGCGTCAAATTCCATGACCAAAGATCCCGGGTTCGAATCTCAAGTGATCCACACTTGGGGTTGGGTATGACTGGCTGATGACGGCTAATAAGCCAGAAATGGCCATTCCGGTCTCCCTTGTCTTTGTCGGTATCACCTTATCTGCATATATTACTAGTCGCTGTGCGACTGCCTGCGAGGGTTTAAATATGAGCCCCAAGGCACAACAGAACGAGCATGTTCTGTAACCTGATCGGTGAGCGCCCATCTGTCATAATATATATATATATATATATATATATATATATATATATATAGGCAGAATGATATTACCGACAAAGACAAGGGGGACTGGAATGGCCACTTCTGGCTTATTAGCCGTCGTCAGCTAGTCATACCCAAGCCCGAAGTGTGGAACAACCGAGCCTCGAACTCGCGACCTGTTGGTTTAGAAGTTCACGCCTCTACCACACACCCACATACGGGCTTGCAAGTTGGCTATTTCAGCAGCTAAGATTCCTAACTGCAGGCTCACAAACAACGGTGCACTCAGCAGAACAATTCCTTGACAAAATAAGGGCAGTCACGATCGAACCGAATGAAAGGATGGTGTCTTTTGACGTCGTCTCACTCTTCACGTCCATACCACAGGCCCTTGCGGTCGAAATGTTCAGTGACCTCCTACGTCAAAATTACGACGGGGGCGATGGCCAGCCCACAGCTCAGGATCTCATAGAACTCATGAGGCACTACCTCAAGACATTCTTTACATTCGAAGGGACCACATACGAGCAGATCAAGGGCACTCCAATGGGTTCACCAATCTCCGGGCTCATTGCCGAGGCGGCTCTACAAAAACTCGAGAGACGACTATTCGAGGAGTACAAACCCAAGTTTTGGGCACGCTACGTTGATGACACCTTCGTAATCATAGACCAGGATAAAATCAAGTACTATGTGGAAGTAATGAACTCAATCATGCCCGATCTACAGTTCACGATGGAAGAGGAAGTAGAGGACAAACTTCCATTCTTGGATGTTCTCGTCTGCCGCCAACCAAATGGTGAAATAGCGACGTCGGTCTACAGAAAACCGACGAACACGCTGCAAATTCTCAGCTACAACAGCAACCACCCACCACAACACAAACGAAGCTGTGTCCGCATGCTGTACTGACGGGTGGAAACTAATTGCAGCACGCCAGCCGCCAAACTGGACGAGATAAAGCTCCTCCGAGAACTTTTCCGAGCCAATGACTATCCGCGGGCATTCATTGAACGAAGCCGGAGGCAGCCAAAGAAACGGAACGAAGAGCATAGTCAGCCAAACTCGTGGCGGAGCATTCCGTACATTAAAGGGGTCTCCGAAATCGTGGCTCGATCACTCGCGCCACTCGGAAGAGGTGTTACCCACAGGCCTGACTCAACAATCCGCCGGCAAGTGATGCGGCCGAAAGATCCGATCCCTAAGCAGGAGATGTCGGCCGTCGTCTACCGTCTTCAATGCAGCTGCGGAAGTTGCAACTACGTTGGGGAAACTGGCCGGCGGCTGCAAACGCGAATGCACGAGCATAATTTGGCCGTGCGAAGGTTGGACCCAAAGTCGGAGGTAGCAATCCATGCCGCGCAAATGGGACACATCTTCAACTTTGACGCCGTTGAGATTGTGGGCAGGGGCAGCGATCACACAGCAAGGCAAGTGCAAGAAGCCTGGATGTCCACCGACCGCTCTGTCAACCGCCACATCAATTTGCCTCCCCCCTATCTGACTTTACGAACCTTCTTAGCGGGGGACAGTCACGGCGCGGGACAATCGGGGCCGTCAGTCATCACCGCGGCCGACGGGGGTGATTCAGGTCACGGTGACATGCGGGTTGGATGCAGCCACACAGGCAGCATTGGCGGATCACGCATTGGACAAAGGGCGCCATAATAAGGAGTGCTGTGCACAGGACTTCCTAGTCCCTGAAGATGGGTAGACGAATAAACTACCCGAAACGTCGGATCTCAAATAAACCCCTCCCGGTGAACGCCCCCTCTTCTTTTGACAATAGAGTTATTAAGGCGGGGAATACATTGAAAAGTGGACGCACATTCGAGGTGATTAGACGAGCAGTCAGCGAATGACGCCAAAGTGTGGTGGTCGGTTTAAAAGCGAGCGGCGACGGAGAGCAATAGACAATGGACAGAGAACAACAAACAAGGAATGACGAGAACCGACGAATAGGGGCACAGAGAAGAAGGCAGGGTTGTATGAGTAAAGTCTGTCTACTAGCAAACGGTTAGTAGCAAAAAGACAAGAATAGAAATTGACACCGGGGATGTCACACACCGTAAGGATCGACTGCAGCTGTGGTGAAATCGGCAAACAGGTTCGCACGGGATTGCACGAACATGAGTTGGCTGTGAGGCGGAAGGATAAACTCTCCTTGGTAGCCGCCCACGCCTCCTCGCGAGTGCACGGCTTTGACTTTCACTGCGTGAGAATATTGGGCCTGCCGGACGACTGAGTTGCCCGCCTGCTGCAGGAAGCGTGGCAGTCAACCGAGGGATAGATAAATCGACACTGCGATCTGCCAACCGCTCATCAGGCACTATGTGAACAAATCAGCAGTGCAGCTAGAGGTCATCCCCGGCAGATGTGTGCCAAATATGTACAGTTTTTTCATCCCTTGACGATGGGCTGGTGTGAGAGTTCGAAATGTCGGATAAATGACCAATTGCTTCTGATCGTTTCTACGGAACTCAATCGTCCCACCGTGCCGGTAACACCATTCTGCTTACATCATGCGCCGCTGTGCGGCTGCCGGTTGGGCTCGAGAGAGACCCCGTGAGGCACAATTGGACGAGTGAGTTCCGTACAAGCGATCGGTGAGCGCCCCTCGGCCAACGCCCTTCTGGAGGGCCGACAGGCGTACCTCGCATGTAGCGAGAGATAAGTAAAGAAGTGTTGGGCATGGCTGGCTGATGACGGCTAATAAGCCGGAAACCGCCATTCCAGTCTCCCTTGACTTTGTCAGCGATGCTATTCTGCCTACGTCATGCACCGCTGTGTGGCTGCTGGTTGAGCTCGAGAGATAGAGAGCTCTAACGCACAACGCGACGTGTGAGTTCCGTTAAAACGATCGGCGAGTGCCTCTCTACCATTGTACATTCCCGATCGCAACCGGCAGGACGAGCCCGTGACTCGGTGGTTAGAAGCGCGGGATCGAGCCCCCGTGTTCCACACTTCGGGGCAGGGTATGTCTGGCTGACAACCACTAGTAAGTCATCAAGGCATCCTATCAAAGTCTCCTCGATTTAGACCCATTCTACCGGTGCATTCCATCCTTACCTGAAGAGAGCGAATAAACTCGCTCGACTGAAACCCGTAGGTTCCGATGACACCAGATTTATGACCCTCAGTGTTGCGCATGCGTACGGCCTTTCAAAGGTGCACTATGCAGATGCGCCATTGATGGATCGCAACACGGTCAAAGCGCTCTGACGTTCTTACAGAAAGTCCAAAAAATTAAAGTAAACCCTGATTATCGCATTCTATCGTTGGACATTGTCTTGTTATCCTCAGTACTGGATGACAAGCGCTTCGATGACAAGTGGCACCAACAGGTAAAATATACCCCGATAGACTCACCTCTATTGGGTTTACTCGCGGAACTAGTCTTACAGTGACTAGATGACTATGCACAAACTTTTAGGTCGGAAAACTGGATCGGCTACGTACACAACACATTTGTTGTAGGAAGGGCCGGCGAAGTTGACCAATTGCATTGGAGTCTGAATGGTGTCCTCCCAGCCATACAATTTACTCGAGGAGACAACAAGAGATACCCTCTCCTTTCTAGACGTATATATGGGCTCAGCGATGGCTGACTCGCAACAAACGCCCATTGAGAAGACTAGTGCTGAAATGGCCGTTACCTATAAAAGAAACTACCCGGCGGCCATGAACGCTGTCTCGACTCCTTTCTACCGGACCCTTCGCTACTGCGGCAGCGATGCCCTACTTAAGAAAGAACTGTCGTACTTATACCGGTTACTGCGATCCAGTGGACACCTGACTAGTTTTTTAATTGCCTGCATCGGATGGATAACCAGCATATCGCATTGTAGAAACTTGATAGGGGGTATGCTGTTTTCTAACCAGCTTTGTGATACCATCCAGGCAGCATTATGTCAAAGGATCTTATGGAAGCCCTAATCATTATGGGAGGGGGAGCAGTTTTGCGCAACAATCAATCAAGCGAATTCGCCAGCTTTTCAAAACTTGAATGAGAACATTTGCTTCAGCCAGGGCTGTTCCCTAAATATATATTCGCAGTTTCTAACAGCCGTCCAATTTTTCAATGAATCCTTCCGACCTTCAAATAGCCTATATAAAACATAAAGCGGGATATCATTACCTGCAATTATAGGTATGTTAGTTGAGTACATATCCACATCCGGAACTGATGGTTGCTACGTATAGCTGTTTTCTGCTATGTTAGAAAACGGTATCTACTGTTATGTTAATACGCTATCTGCTACCTCTTTTGACTGTCTAAGTAAGGATAACCTTTCACTTTAAACCTAAAGCTAAGGCACTAATCAGGAAGAACGGAAGTTGGTTCCCCTCCATGGGGAACACGGACACTTGCCAGTACTCTTGAGTCGTATTTTTCAATCCCGATGGGAAAATTTATAAACGAAAACAAACGCCTCATATAAACTGCCCCAGAAAACTATCGCCTTTCCAGTAAATGGAAAGCAAAATTTTCGAGGAGGATAAGAAAGCATAAGACATTCTTATAGGGTGCCCAACCTTCTGCGCGAAATCATTCGCTCAAATGCCTAGTTGATAGAGGCCCAAAAGACAAAGGCATTCTGGGGAATCATTTTGTTTTCTAACGAAGCAACATATCCAGAAGGTCTGGCGTATTTCGTGACTTGTTTTTCGTCCTGCGAAGAATGCCTAACCTAAAAGCAAAGTAAAACAGGACGGAACACAAACATACAATTCTGCCCGATCTTGTCGCGCGCTCCAGGACTTAGTTTGTCTTGCGTCCGCATTACCAGGGGTTTTTAATATCTGCATGAGGACTGAATGATGAACGAAGCTGTCCTACCTTGGATTGGGTCATCGGTGGAAAAGTGGCTTTGAGAGGCGTTGCGGGCGAGAATCCTGTCTGCTTGACCGAAATTTCAGAACTTGAGGGAGCCTGCATGTGAGGGAGTGGGGAATCCGTAACAGTGGTGCTCGAGCCACCGTTCACAGAATTGTCTCTGTCGAGACGAAATTAGTAAAAAAGCAAACTAACCTTAAATTCATAAATGCTGTGCAATTCGGGTTCAGCTTTATCAGAACGTCGGCTGCTATTTGGGTAGGCAAACCATCCAAATAACTGGCCTAAATGACAGGCATTATACGAGGAAGATAAGGCAATAACTAACCAAAGACGTTGGTACAGGGATTCTTTCACGCATCGCGTACAGAGAGTTGTAGGTATTTGCAGTAATCGCGATGGACTTTTCACTCATTATGCTAAATCAATATTGTGAATAACAACAAAAGTCAGGTCTACAGAATACGAGCGATGATGGTCATAACCACCATCAGAAGTTTGACAAAGTGTCCAGTAAGCATCTGACGTTCACATAATCTAAAAGTTAACCTCAACATTAAGCGAAGACCTATTTACTTCCAGCAAGTCACAGCCACCCTTCGTGTTGTCTTTAATTCCTGACGCCAGTTTAAGAGTGACAGGAGAAGATAATCCAAACAATTTCGATTTGGGCATGTTAATTGTCCGAACTTCTGCAGAAATAAGTCGATGCCAAGAAGCGAGGAGCCATGAAAGACCTTGCGCAGCCGTCGTTCTACCTATTAGGGGCTGGGTGTGACTGAGTGAAGAAGGTACGTGGCAGAGAGAGAGGAAGTAAGGGAAATGACGCTGTTGATTTCTGAACTTGTAGGTTAAAGCACGAATAAGGGATAGGTCAGGATTATCAGGAGACCACGTGGGGAGCAACGAACGAATAGTGGCGACGTTTCTTGTAAGGAAGTCTGCAAATCGGGTGACAAATCAGCGGACGTACCAACAACACAGGGATCACAAATAACACTCTTAAATATCGGAAGAGGTATGGAGGACATTGGGCCCGAGCACCTAAAAGACGGAGGAAAGTCAAAAGAAATAGTTCAAAATGCTGGGTGCTAATAATCTTGCGGCAAGTTGCGACTTTTAAAAGCCAAATTGGCCAACATGTGTTTTCAGTAACCCTTCATCAAGCCAAAACGGTTACATAGAAGTTTAAGTTATGCGAATTACATGACTTATAAGTGATTCGGGGACAATTAACATCCATCGTTCCCACGCCACTCGCATGACGAGACGTGCTATGGCGTGATCGGCGTGTCGTGGTCATTGGGTCCAGGGGGCGAGTGAGAGGGGGGCATAGGTTGTGAGTACGTCGGGTACGTTGTGCACACACCCTGCCATCAGGAGGTTGGGGCGACGTTGGGGTCGGCGTTGACCAAGGAAGGCAGAGCGCCTGTGTCAGAGTCTTCTGACAGCATAGCACTGGATTGGCTAGCCGTATAGCCACTGCCTCGGCTGTAGCTAACACCCGTTGGCCTAGGCCTCTGGAGAAGCTTGCTGGTGTCCGGTAGACAATCTGAAAGGCCTCTTTGGCATCGACTCGGTGATTCGTATCGACAAGATAAGCGAGAATAGAACTCGAGATCGATTTCTTTTCACCTCTGCCTAGCCAGGCCGGTGTGTGTTCACGTACTCTCTTTTCCAAGCGCCTCGATGTACGGCCAATGTATCCCGCTTCACAGGAGCAAGTGAATGAATAAATACACATCGATGTGGCCTGCAACGGGAGTCGGTCCTTACCTCCCAAGAGTAGGAGGGGAGAGTTAGTGAAACGTACACGTAAGTTCGCCACGGGGAAAGCGCTAGTGATCGCTGTCTTCAGACGTCTTCTTACTAGGTCACTTGCTGCGTCCCCTTGAAAAGGCAGTCTTATAAATAAGTCCTTCTTTTCTGCAGTTGCCATGGTAGACTTTACAGTGCGCTCCCCTATATTTCCGAGGATAAATCTTTCTGGGTATCCGTTTTCGTGGAGTGTATCTCGCAGCTGCTAGAGTTCTGCCTCCACAGTCTCAGGAGAGTAGATAAGTCGCACTCTAGCTGCCAATCCCTGGACCAAATTGCGTTTAATATTTAGGGGAAAAAAACTGTGAAAATTAATGTATTGTCCCGTCCAGGTTTTCTTTCAGAATACCCTACGTTGGATAGACCCATCCTCTTGTCTGTGCAGAAGAACGTCGAGGAACGCGATTTCATTGTCTGCCTCAAACTCTGCAGAGAACGTTAGCGAGGGGTGTGAATTGTTGAATTTTTGAATCAGGGCGTCTGTGTCTTCCAAAGGCCAGACATTTCTACATATGACACCACGGTCCTTAAGTCCCTGTCACTCGGTTTTCAGGACACCAAACATTGTTTCAGAAGAATACTTTAGGTCGCGCAGACGCCCCCTGTCACGCAATGGAAACGGACACACCGTCGTGTAAGGACACATTTTACGAAGTAAGTGACCTAAGTAACAAGATGCTGGCCACCAGCGCGATTTGAACGCCCTCATTACTATGGGCTTATCCTGTCACATTCATGTGGAAGATGGCAAATTACGCTTTTGTGCCGTTTGCCATTGGTAAACTGAGATCACAACGCGCGAATTGTCTCGACTCTAACGTATCCAGAGTATGCTAGACATCCCAACCGGACCGGATAGTTCTGCACGTTGGATCTCCAGTAAAGTAACTAGCAGGTAGAAGTCTAACCTTCATGTCGGATAAAACTACTCCCATTCAAAGTTGAAATTGTTATTCGAGCTGCACAAAGCAGTCGCCACTTTCCAAAATCTCAAGCAAATATTCATATTCATACCCTCATCAATGTTTGATATAACACGCAATGGTTTTACAAAAAAAGGCGGCATAATACTAGGGCCTACATGCGGTTCGGTCAGCATTATGAGATGTCGGCCTCTACACTGGCTGCAAAAGTTTATATCCCTCCACGGTAAAGTGACCTACGTCGGACATGAAATTATTGCTACATATATGCGCGCGGCACCTGCAGAAGTGGATATCATTATATCACAGCCAGTTACACAACCTCCAACGCAAGCCAGAAGTTTTGTTTGCCTAGTCCCGCATTAACGGCATTCCACCCACCATTTTTCCGAAATAAATCCTCGAAACGAAGACGAAAAAAGTTATTAACTGTTCTGAACTGAATTGTGCAAAACGACTTTCGATGGGCTTACATCCGTCTACATATACGATTTTTAGTTCTGACGTTAACATTCCACCCCTAACTCTTGATCCTGATACCTTCTGATCTGCAATTAATGGAATGGTCTCCCAGACTAATTAGTCTGGAAGAAGTGGACTGCTTTGCTTTATTAAAAAAACACTACTCAGAGTCCAGCACAAAATCTTCAATTCTAATCACGTTTTTTATGATAAATTGGCTTTTTCAGCCGGACGAGCCCTTCGCTAGTTATTCCAACCACAACGCGCTAGATATTTAAAGGACACGAAGGACGCTGAAGATCAGGTAATCAGAGGACGGGAAATGGAACAACAGGACCTCTTCATTTGCAAATCCATCCGAAGCTACAACATGCTGGAGCTAACGCACCATTCCGGTTCCTATCCCGATGAAATTGAATTGACCAGCAACGCGGTTAGCCAGGCAAACGCTAATCAATGAAGATACCCATAATCACTGGCCTGTAGTGGAACGTACAGACCACGACACCACAATAGTATACGATCGCTAACTTCAGAGCCGACACCATTTCGCAGATGACTATCTATACTCACCTCTGGAAATAGTTGACACAATACACAACCAGTGGCCGAGATCTTTGGAGACGCGACAATCCATTTCTCAGGGAGGCTACAACCAGCATCGAATTTAACCGTTTCGGGCAGAATCGTACTACCAGTGTTAACCAACGGCAATGTGCGGAGAGGTAACTATCTTTTGCATTAGTTGCCTACCCTAGCGCCCGCATGTCAGACGCCTACTGTCTATACTCACCCGATTTCAAATCCAGCGTACCGAAAGTGAAATCGACGAATATGATCGCTATGTTTGTCGGTTTCTCTTCTTACGCCTTTTGTCGTGCCGCCCGTCCCGCACAATCTACTTTGGCGCCCCCCACGATCCTCCTCTGTGGCTGCCCACAGCGCTGCACCCCTCCATCGGTTGTTTAGCAGGCGTGTCGGCTTCGCCTCTGCATCCAGACGGGCCACCTCCTTGATTGAATTCATCCTTATACTATCAGCTATTGCTACATGCAAAAAATTACCACCCGTTCCTATTATAAATATTTGCGTTCGGCACATTCTTCTTTTACCTTATCGTCTGGATGACGTGGTCGTCCAAAGCCAGGAGTCATTCCACCGCTTCCCGTTACCCCGTGTATTATCCTCAACGACTTCGGCCGCTGCGGATATGCGTATGCTATGGGTATGTCGGTAATGTGAGATATAACAGTTTGTCGTGCGCACAATAGACTTCTGCACATAAGAAAGTTAAACCACTTTTCAAAGATATGGATCTCTGACAAAGAGCCAAACAAGTTATGGAAAAATCAGATCGTAATACGAAAACAAAAGCAATAAAATACGTAGGATAATAGTGCACTGTGAAAACTGCTAATTTGCCTACGGTACAAGGTGCAATGGGCAATGTCCCACTCGCCGGGGATCTTATAGGGTCGCCGGCAGCCGCGGTTTCTCTACTGGCTCTCCAGGCCTGTTTATTGATTAGTTAGTTCTTTTCTGCTTGTTTTCTTAGACTATTCTTGGTGCAAAGCATCACGACTGTTGTTGGGATGTTTGGATGATAGAACACTTTGGGAGCGCGGACCTGGGATGATGATGGCGTGACTGAGTGCTGGTGAAGATGGCCGGTGTCCCTAGCTCTCACTTTTCATGACCCCCCTCCCCCAACTTATCGTCACGTCCTCGTCGCTCTCTCCCTTTCTCTACGTGAGCACCTCCTTCGGTCCTGCCCTGCAGTTGCCCACAACGCTGCGTACTTCTCCGGTTATTTAACTGGCATGCCGGTATCGCCTCTCCATCCAGACGGGTTAGTCCATTACTGTAACTCTTCCTACTTATGAAATTGACTATTATCATATGTATTTCTAATTCCAAACTCTTTCCACTAAACCTTTTCGCCTACTTGACGTTCCTCCTTCCCTTGCGTGCAAATGAGCATCACGACGAGCTAACAACTCCATTCAGATCGCTCTTGGCCAGGATCTCTTTCTAGTGCTTTGCTACCTTGGTGTGTGCTACCCTTGACGTCTTCGGCCGCCACATTGACTCTCAACAATGACACTAGCTGAAGTAATTTTAAACCAGTGAGTTCAAACGAATTTCCGGCTGAATTATCTTTGGGGTTAAGTTGAGGGCTGTTTACAGGGGTTGGGTTAGAATTATAGTTAGAATTGGCTTGAAAGTTTGGTTGGAGTTAGGTTCATTATGAGTTTTATCCTCATGGATAATACCATGTTTTGGTTAAGTGTTATGGCTATGATTAGGACATGGGAAGAATGAGACGACTGACCAGTTATTCAGGTGGCGCTGACCTTGTTAACGGGACCTGCAACGACTACTCAGTTGCAGTCTCCGAAATCGTGCAAATGATCGTATTTTTTCTAAGATCATTTTATCTCGAAGCTTATTTTGTTTCTCAAGTTCTCCCATTTGGTTTTTTACACTACCACCGGTGCTTTTTTGGTGCCTGGGTTACTTTCTCTTCCCGTTCGACCTTGTTGTTTCCCCCGAGACAGGCTATTTAGCCGATTGCAGGAGGAGTGTAGCGGCCGAGTACGTTATGGGTCCGCACACATCAAAGTGGCGAAACACTAGGAAGAGATCCTGACTTAAGTCTACCTGCATAGGGTTGTTAGCATGTCGCGATGCCCATCTGCGATAAGATATATGGGAAAGACATGGGAATTGGAAATGTTTATAATAATAGTTAATTATACAAACAGAATTAGTTACAGCAGTGGAGTAACCTGTCTGAATGGAGAGGCGACACCGACATGGCAGCTAATTAACCGGTGGGGACCTCAGCGCTGTGGACAACTGCAGGCGATGGCCAAGAGAGGTGCCCGAGTAGAGAGAGGGAGAGAGAGAGCGATGCCAACCTAACGGTAAGTTGTGAGAAAAGGAGTCGGCGGAAGTGAAAGGAAGGGACACCGGCCATCTTCGTCATCACGCTGTTACACCATCACCATTTAAGGTCCGCGAGCCAAAAAAGTGTTTCTTCATTCAAATAATCATGCAAAGGTCGTGGGGCGTTACAGGTGATCCGACCCCGCTCTGTTTTACTGAACGGTGTGAGTTTTGACTTTTGTTTCTGTTCTTTTCTGTTTTGATTAAAACCTAATGAGCGTGGTGGAGCGCCAACAGGTCTCGGGGTCTCCGGCGGACCCACAGGGGGGATCTGGAAGAATAGGCTGAACAGAATTGAGTTCTCGAGCGTGTGAAAATGCTCTAGATCGTTCAGTTCGCATTCCGACGCTTCTGAATACAGTAAAATAATGTAATTCCATCGTCCTACAGAGTGCCTGACTAACTCTTTACTAGGCTGGATAATAACGAAGTGACTGCTCAGGACTCGAACTCAAGGAGCGGCTAGGCCGTAAGAGACGCTGAAGAAGATTGTGGAGATTGTTTCAGCGATATAAAACTAGAGTCTGAGCCTTCGAAGACGTCGGGCAATTCAGCATGATTTTGAATTTCGGCCTGGAAAAATCTGTTCATGACGTTATAGTCCATTCCTAGTTCCATCTGAACCACCAGGTGTCAGTGAGCCACTTTAAACTACCAAACCGCTAACCGCAGACTATTCGGCACTTTTTAAGTGTACTCTCTCAAGAGTGAGCTGCACGGATTTTTTGTTTAACACCGGAAATATAATGTCAGCTGTTAATGGCATCCTAAACTTCCGAATGAACGAAGTTTCTGCAAGTCAGGCGTCAGTATGCCAAAGCACATGATACTTGATCCAGTAAGGTTTACCTGGTCTGCAATTCTTTCCACGATACTAATAATAGTAATAACTGTGTTTAATGTCCGCTTATAGGCATTATCAGGGAAAAGTTAAACACAAATCCGGCAACAGTGAAAAGAACTCCTGACACAAAAATAGCTATAAAGCTGATTATGGTTTTTATAGTTTTGAGGATTCAGGAGAAAAAGAAAACTGCTGCTCATGAAATGACAACAGTTAATCATAATCGTGGATATTTCTGAACAGGTTTTTATAATGCTGGCGTTGAGCAGTGTCAGTCGCAATTAAGTGGCAATCGGGGAATGGAGCTACGAATGGCACCACTTCTCACATTTGGGGAACTATGTTTCTCTCTTCTCCATATTGTTCGGTTTACCTTAGGATAAATATTCTCTCCATCGTCACAATGCTGAAGTATACACTTAATCAACAATTACTTCAAAGTTTCTAAAGGTGAAATTCGGTCTATTGCCGAGTTTAACGTCCGAAAGCAGATTAGTTGTTTTCATATTATTTTTGAATGATCGGACTGTTAGTAGAATTGCTTCAGGTTGAAAGATCAAGGCGACTTTTGAGACGCAACATCCAGGCTCAACGTTCGAGGGCAATGTGAACACAGTAATAAAGGCAACAACAAAGTCTGTGATCTAAATTATCTTTAATAAAAGAAAACAGGATGGAGGCACAGTTTCTTTTTCTTGAAATATCACTTTATCTGGTAGTTCAGGGGTTCCGGTTGCTCCTGGAGAAACCCCAAAGTTGGGAGTTAAACACGACCTTTTGGCGTTCCGAATGTGACCGAATAAAAATCGAGTATCCGGTGAAGTGGTTGAACCACAAAAGGTCATCAGTTTGGGGCGTCTAATTAGGAAAAGCGCATAGTAGGTGAGACCAAGACCGCTGAAAGTCGTATTGGGAAGCTAACAGCAGGCAAATTTCACCTTGCATCGAAAGTCCAGACTACGAAACGGTCGTTATGGAGAGCTCTTTTGGGTTAGATTTGTCTCCCATCGTTCGAATTAAAAGGGAGGATACTGGTAACAAAACTCAAAGGGTGTAAAATGGAGGAAGAAACAGGTGTGAAAATATTTAAGAAGTCAAGTCCGGCAGACGTACGCTTTCTATTATCCATCAGAAGACCTGTACAGTAAAATAAGTAAGGGCAGAATAGCAAAAGATGAACAGCCAATAAAAGTCAGTATAGGGTGAGGGTTGATAGGCGCTCAGTGGTCATGGGTCAGATTCTAGTTCTGTCAGAGGCTTAGAGCTAATTAATAGACACCATCCCCTTCCCCCCCTAAGCCTCTGACAGCACTAGAATTTGACGCCTGGCCACTGGACGTCCCTCTACCGTCTCCTCCATACAGACCGTTATCGGTCGTTCAACCTTTGCTATTCTGCCCTTATTTTACTACGCAGGCCTGATGATGAATAGTCGAACGTGTACGTTTGCCGGACTTGAGTTTTAAATGTTTACATGGTTATCCTAGCTGAAATTTGGAAATAATAGTTAACGAAATCATAAAACGGAGTGTCTGAATCTATGAAATCATTTGGTGAAATTTGAGATAGCGAAAATGGTCATCACTTCAATCAAACATTTGTAGATTTGAACCCAGACGGCTGACTGAATGGCATGCGAAATATGTGGCAGTAATTGTCAGGCACTAATGACCATCAAACTTTGTCTAAGGATCAAGAGAACAAAAATATGACTAATGTACAATAACATTCAGAGACTACCCAATAAAATGTATTAAACCAAATTGATTGGGGTCCATTTTCAAACTGATTTTATAGCCCTAACTGAAACATGGTTAACTGAGCAGAGAGCGGACGAAGAAGTCACACTGGATAGATTTTAGCGTATGCGTATGGATGGAAATGGACGTAGAGGTAGAGGAATGGCGTTGATTGCTCGGGATGACAAGGTGGGTCCTCACCAAAAAGGAACACTAGTTGCCAAATCCTTATTTGTAAATTGGGAGTGTCAAACCGAACCGGACGTCCATAGTGCCTTATATGCAGGTCCCCAGACCAGTGGAAGGATACTGATGATGCACTCGCCACTGAGGCGAAACAAATCTGCCGTGGCAAACGTGTAATAGTAGTATGACATTTCAACTCTCACGAAATTGACCGGGAATTGATACGCTACAAAGGATCGGAAGACTCATTCTGATAGAAACCACTTCTGTTGGTCACTGAAGAATTCCTTTTCAGCACGTTACAATGAACGTGCGATTCCAAAATGAACAACAGTCAAGCTGTTTGCATCTTATCACTACTCTGGATGACAACTGATCTATGCACTGTGTTCTAAAACGCCACTTGGCCGAAATGACCCTAGCTTTCTTTTTTCAGTTCGGTTCAGTTCAGTTTACTGGGGGAAATAGGCGTAAGCCCTATAAGTGCCCTATTTGCAATGTAAAAGTATGTGGTATACAGAAAAATGTTCTGGGTTGAAATAGTTCAAACGAGCGCATAATATTTGGACAAAAATGAAACGAATTACTGGGAATAAGGTCGACTTCTCCTCGCTCTTGGTCCTTTCGGAACATAAATATGTCAAGGTTCTTTTTGAAACTTTGTATAGATGGTGACATCACAACATCTGCGGAAACGGCATTCCATGGTTTGACCACTCGAACAGAGAAGGAGAACTACTGCTCATCCAGCCTTGCCTGCTGAGTGCGCAGTTTAAACGGGTGACGGCGGAGGTTGGTCGTGGTTTGGGAGAACAGTCATTTTTCTGTTCCCGAAATTGTAGCAGTAGAGAAAAAAATATTGTCTAAGGGAATTATTCAAAAATAAAAAACTACTAAGTGAGGCAGACTAAAACGCTGTAATGTACTGGACTAAAACGCCGTCTGCTTTTTCTTTAAGAACGCGATTCAGTTCTTGGTAGAGAGCTTTTTCCGCTTCGAGGGTAGTCGTTCGTCCCCCCAAATCGACTAGGTGGAAACAGAAATAAAAAGGAATCTGAAGAAGAGAAGGAGACTGTGGAGGAGTTATGTTACATACGAACAGGTCGAACGTTTCTCTAAATCTAAGAGACAGAAAAATAGGTGTCGTAATATCCTTAGGAGAGAAAGAGCAGCACTTATGTCAGCGATAGTCAACAGAATATCGAAAAGTCCGAAAAAAGTCTTAGTATACATGAATAAAGCGAAACAAATTGGTACGTCATTCCTAGTTTAAAGAGTTGCAGGGAAAAATTATCCGATAGCTCAGAGAAGACGTATCTCTTATCCAACTTCTCAATGCTCGTGTATACCGAGGAGCCACATTTGATGAGAAAGTATACCGACAAAATAACATGTCCAGAGATACATTTGGCATGGTACCGTTTAGAAGAGACGCGGAAGAAAGAACTCCGAAACAGCAGCATCTCTCTAAATCTCATGGTATTCATGGTATGCCCTCCAAAGTTCTGAATGGACGCGCGGACCAGCTGGCCTCCCCCATCTTCAAGATCCTCGATCGAGCCGAGAACTTTAACTATTGACTGGGAGCTAGCCAACATAAGCTTCACACTTAAAGGGAAGAAAGGACTTCATTAAACAGCCTCAGGGTGGTGAGTCCCACGGGCATTTGTTGCAAACTAATGGAGTAAAAGACAAAAACAGAACTGACGAGGTATATTTATTAAGTATAATTCAGTATATATGAGGGATATAAGCAGAGCCCTGGAAAACCCTATTTACAGCTAGACTTATGAACAAGGACATGCAGATACTTATATAACAGTTGTGCCAGTCATTGATATCGAGTAAATATTTGACCATCAAGCGCAAGTGTATCGAGTCTTTTTTTTGGACGCTTCAAGCTTTCTGCCAAGACAAAGAAGTTGAGCAACTCATTCCATTCTTAAGCCAGCTGGTGGAAGACTAAGTTGGTCCGCACTTCAAGCTTGGCATACTTAATCTTCAATTTGTATTGATGGCCTCGAAGATCGGCCGTTCGCGCCATTTCGAAAAAACGCCAAACTGAAGAGCATAGTGTAGCCCTCGGACGATTCTGAGGGCCATGATCATATCCGCTCTGTATTGTCCATAAGAGAGAGGAAATAGTTTGAGCATTTCCAGACGTCTCTCAAAATGTAAGCAACTTAATCCGCTGACCAACTTGGTTGCTTTTATTGTACGTTCTCCAAAGAGTTTAATCTTGTTTCGTTCAGAGACACCATGCCTGAAAGCAATATTCCAACACTGACCGAACAAATGTTCCAAATACTCGTCCGAATAGTTGTACGTCAACATTCAGGATGGGTCTCCTAGTCGTGCCTGGGATACCTATAGCCTTCTTCGATACCTTGGTACAGTGAGTCGATGGTTTGACAGTTGACGTCATGTACACACCGAGATCCGTTAATTCGTTGACTGATTCGAGTTAGTGACCTCGTATAGAGTAGAGACATTCAAATCGCAACGACTTCCTGTTGCTAGATGGTAATAGGATAAGTTGGCATTTGTTACGATTGAAGTTAAAACAACACTTACCATTGTTGCAAGCGATGCAGATTGCTTTGTAACTGTAGAGAGTGCTCCGACTTCTCTATTGATTTCCACAATTCCTGATCATCGGCAAACATTACGCGTTCGCAGTTCAGACAGTCCAGGCAGTCGTTCACATATATTAGGAACAGAATTGGACCCAGAACGCTCCCCTGCGGAACGCCGCTGTAAACGGGTGCCCATTCCAATTTAGCCTTTCCGATGCACACACGCGTAGATTTGCCCGTAAGAAAATCGACTAACCGCTTCAACAGATTCCCATTCACGCTCATTTGACGTAGTTTAATTATAAATCGTCTGTGTAGAACACTGTCAAAAGCCTTTCTGAAGTCAACGTACACGGCGTCGACTGATAAGCCCATGTCGATTGATTTCGTCCAGCTCGCCATGGATACCAGCTGATTAGTGAGACAGGATCGACCCCTTCAAAACCCATGGTTTTCTTCAAGATACCGCACCAGCTCTGTTTTTATTACCTTTTCTATCACCTTGCAACAGATGCTTGTGAGATTCACTGGTCTGAAACTATTTGGGGCTGTTCTCTCGCCACCTTTATATATGGGACTGATATTTGCTTTTTCGCAGTCGGTAGGCAGAGCCGCGGTCTCCATCGAAGTTCTGAAGATCTTGGATAACGGAGAGGCCAGTTGGTATGAGAGTACATTCAGGACTTTTGCGGGCACGCCGTCCGGACCAGGCGATTTAGAGGGCCGTAGATGAC